GACGGCGGGGGGGCGGGCGCGGCGCCCTCGCCTGCCGCGCCGGACTGCTCCTCGCTTTCGGCGGCCGGCGTAGGCGAGCAGCAGTGTAACGCATCGCTTAACTCCTCAGGCTTTCAGTCTCCTTTGCCTCGTTGCTCCAGTGGGGTGTCTGCTTTTATTGCCCCTCTTGTTTTCTAAAAAAACAAGCTTATGTTAATCTGCTAGTTGAGTCTCAAATCCATTTTCTTTCCCTTTAACCTCCTGAGTAGCTTTAACTAAGTGCCAGTAAGGGACGCATGTTCTCAAGTGCTACGAGTTTCTGTTCTTTCAGGTCGATCGTTGGTTGGACAGTGGAGAGAGAGCGAGTGAGAGAGAAATTACTGAAAGGAAGACCTTTCTGGTTTGTCAGTCTGCGTTGTCAGTACGTCAGTAGGTCCAGCCAGTTCTATTTGTGTTACCCCTCGCCTGGAGAAATGGGTAGGGAATAATGGGAGAAGAGATTCAGGATGTGGGGCAGAAATCTGTACAGGGAACTAAGAACTTTGAATTTCAAAAACTGTGAAACAGCTTTTCTAAAAAAAAAAAAAAACTTCCCTAGAGGATAGTTTTGTCATGTAATGTTTTCTAAGAACACCATGTCGTTGGTTCTTCTGTCACCATGATTAAACATTAAAATCTGTTTATGAAGTTGAGGCATCTCTGGAGTCTAGGTACTACTGTCTAACATCATCTGACAGTGTTGTGTAGCTGTGAACAGTGCAACCTCCACTTGCAACGCCAAAAAGTTTTGAGAAGATGCCATAAATCAATTATGGTTTGGTTGCTAAACTTGCTACAACTATTAAAACAGAAATTCGAAACTTAATTTACTCCTATCCCCAAAAGAAATATTTTTTTCTCGTTAATGTGTGACCACTGTATACATAGAAAATAAAGCCACGTTCATTGCTTTATTGGACTCTTTTTAGTAGTGTTTTTTTTTTCCTTGATATAAATATCCTTCTAAAGAGACAGCTCAATGTGACTGTATCTAGAATCTGAAATATCAGAGTCATGAGCTATGTAGATGCTATTCAGTAGTTGTTAACGTGATTTTTATAGGAAAAGTGGAAAGGGTCTTTGTTTAATTTGCTCCCCAACTTTCTTCCTTTTGGGTGAATACCTGAATGAAAAATGTTTAAGAATCTATTTTCCTGACTTGACCGTTTTTTCCATAAAAGTAACAGCTTTTGGAAAAGATGTTTGTTTATCAGAATTGCTTAGGAGTGCAGAATTTGTAGTTGAAAATTTTAGTTGTTTTTATGAGAGAGAGCGAGCCACTGGTTGTATTAACTCCTGGTGAATTAATTCAGCATATTTTCACACTTCTGGGAAGTTTTTAAATCGACTGAAGAAATAATTTTGACTTGACTGTCAAAAACTTCTAATGTCTTTAACGCTGGAAAAGCTAGTCACTGTTTTTCTGAAGGTTAGATAACCGAGTGCGGGAGTGGAATTGACGCTTCAGCATGAGCAGGTGGGAATGCCTTACACTTAAGCATGTGTCCTCTTAAAACTTTCAGTTTAAAATGAGTGCTTTTGTTTCCTGAAAATAAATTCATATGGGTCACTTGGGGGACTATTGTAATACTGCACTTACCTCTGTTCTTATTCGTAACATCTGCTAGAATAAAGAACAGGGCTTCTTAAATCTCTTGCTAGTAAGAGAGACTTTCTTTGTATCCAGTATGCTCTGAATAGTCACTATACATTTCTGTTAAACAGATGTATAGTTGGGTCACTTGTAGTATTAAAATGAATGCTTTTAACTCTCTTTCTGAATCAGCCAAATGTTCAAGGTAATATTTCTTTCAGTGTTTTTTACGTGCTCTTGAGAAGTAGATCTTCCCCCTTCAGGATAACATTGCATTAAATTTTAAGCTTTAACCACAATTTATGGAAAATATTTTGGGGAGATATATGCTCCCTTTCGAACTTCACCTTTCACCTTTCAAGGTGTCTTACCTTCACAGCTTATGACACCTATTTTACTGTAACCTTTCGGTGTCATAAATTCAGTTTTGCTTGATCATCTTGCACTTCAGTACATTTGCTTATTGGGTGTGTATATTGAGGTAAACATGTAAGATAAATTCTACTACTATTATGACTCTTTTTTTCTTTTAAGTCTTTAGGTATGATCATTATGCTTACGTTAGTTTAAAGTGGTAGTTTTCTTATTTTAAAAAACAGTATTACTATAAGTATTATTTTATGCGTTCTTTGAGCTTCAGGAGCAGAGAAATGTCATGTCTAGCTCGCTGGGATTAGCTAGGTCTTTTCTGTTTTACAGTTGGTTAAAGTCTATTTCTTGTTGGAAAAGTGTACCACGTAAACAAGGAGAAGTCTGTTGTAGCTGATCCTGTGTAAATATACATGTTTCATGAATAACGTGATTCAGTATCCTCTGTGTAATATTTTAGTTATGAGTAATTTGTCACAAACACTTGGTTGAATGCTTCATTTTTAGCATCTATAACTTTCCAGTGAGCCATGGAGCTCCTTAGGAGTACTCAACGAAAGTATTGTCACTTTAAAAAACAAAAACAAAAACAAAAAAAGCCAAAAATACAGGGGAAGTATGGTTCTACTATTTAAATTATGATACCTCCTGGGGAAGTCCAAAATGTGTTTTTTCGTTTTTAAGGTGTCTCCTGGTTTGACTCTAACAGTGAAGTGCTATGAAGCAGTGTAGTTTGGTCTTTGCTGTTTCTCAGGACTGAAAAGCACTGACTACTTAAACTCCCTCTGCACTTTTATTCCACTTCCTTGGGGTAGAGAAGAGGGGATGCTGGGTCCTGCGTGTGGTTTAAATGCTCACCTTGGTTTTTATGTAGTTCTGCAAAGCTATCCTAGCATTGGACAGATTATGCGTTTGTTCTAAGGGTGCACTGTTGCTGACTTGCTTCTTTATAATAACTTGCTGTAGACAAAAGACTTTCCAATAGAAGCATATGCAGTCATCCTGTCCTCTTCTGATGTTGTTCTTTTAACCTGTGGTTCAGTATTTAACTATTTAACCTAAGGCTGGAAATCTCATTCTGTTTCTACAAGTTCAATGAAAATAAATGCCTGGGAAGAGAGGTGCTAGGACCCTGTGTCCTGACTGAAGGAGACGTTGCAGTATGTTCTCATTTTCTTTTGGCAAAATATGCAAGGGAGAAAGATATTAAAGCTCTCGTAACTGCAGAAAAGGTTTTAGTGACCTCAGCAAAATCCTTGGGAGAAAGAGCGTGGTGATGGAAAAAATACTGATCGAATATGATCCTGTAACGCCTCATAAATACATAGATGGTGGGAGATGTGTCTCTGAAGTCCTAAGTCTGGAAAGTAAGCATTGCTAAATTTTTGAGGGACGTCTTGGCATACTGATCTAGTAAGCGTGTACTTCTAAACTTAGATGCCTGTCCCGCTGAAGACTTCTTTCTGAACTTGCCAAAGTACAGTTCTGCTTATGAATTCTAAAAAAGTTTGCAGTATGAGATATGCCCAGTCCATCATGGTATGATTTCTTGGCTGTAAAGTACATGCTGTGCAATCATTTTCATTTATAATTAAAGTATCGCAAGATAAGTTAGGGTGTTGTGTTTAATATTAAATTTAATATTAAATGTTTTTAATCTCTTTCTCAGATTCTATGAAAGTGGAGGTGCTTCAGAAAAACACTTCTTCTAGAAATGAGAATGAAACACTAAAACTTCAAAATTTGACAGACAGCTTGCACGGTATAACCCCAGCAAAGAAAGAGGCAAGCCCAACAAAAAAAGAGGTGCCCCCAACAACAGCTAAAATCACTTCTGTGACTGCAATAAAACCGTCAACAGCAAAAGGAGATCCTCTGCTCAATGTTCTCTCTCATGTGGTGACTGTTAGTCCTGTATCTCAAATGGATGTTGATGCTTCTGAAGACACTAACATTGAGGAAGAGGATCTTCTAACAGATTTGAAAGACACGCTAAATAGTTCACCACCCATAATAAAAGAAACTATGGAGTCCGATGGCGATGACTATGGTCCTTATGAAATGACATCGAATTCCAGATATAGTCCAGACCTTCTAGACATGCCAGAAGATGAGGACTCTGACACCATTAGTAATTATAATGAGGAGGTTAAGTCCCATGAAGAGAAGACAAAAGATACTGTTGTCACAGGTTTGGAAGAAGACAGCCATTTCTTTTTTCATCTGGTTATAGTTGCCTTCTTAGTAGCTGTTGTTTATATCACCTATCACAACAAGAGGAAGGTAGGTATACTGTTAAAAGTTAAGAGAGATTGCTTTAGTATTTAAAATGGAAAATTAAATGATTACATCAGCAATCAATTAGTTCAGTAATATACACTGACAGTGCCTGACATGACTTCTAGAAATAAGACCCGATTCAAGTCATGTGAAGGTGACTGATTAACTTGTTTTGGTTCTGCACAGAATTGTAAACAGCAAATTAAGAAAGGTTTGATTTCAGATGATGTGAGACTGTTCTTGATATAAGTATGATAATACTTACAAGATACACTCCCTTAAAGGTGATCTTTATTATCATAGATATTCCTAGGACTTAACTATGAATTTGTAGGAAATGGTTAGCACTTTGTTTCCGGTTTTACACAGGCAAGACCCCCAGCTTATTAGTGATTTCAGGTAAATATTTTCTTCATTATGAACTAATTCTTTCTTTCTCAAAAACTTACCAGTTAGTGTTTTTGTTCAAAATATATTGCTACCCGAGTAATATGCATAGACAAATTAGCACTTAAATCTTAGGTTAGTTCTTAGATCTGAGAAGCTTCATTGTTTCTCTTTATCCTTGTAGAGAATGCTGATTTGGCCCGGGATTCTGGGGAGTCTGGAAAGAACACAGCTAAAAAAAATACTTATACTTTACAGTACAATAACATGTCTAAAATATGTGTTGCTAAATGTTTATCTAGAATGCCTGTGTTACTTTTGAAAATTTAACTTTGAGGGAAGTTTGAATAAATTATAAAAAATCTTACCCTGCCTTTCCTACATAAGTGAAATAATGTTTGGAATATCATCTGGGTAATGGAAAAGCGATCTGTTGTTGTAACTCTTCAGCACTTAAAAATAATTTTGTGAGCAGAAAATGCACTAGTACTGTAAGTACATCGATAATGGCATGTGTTTGAGACTACAGTCAAACTGGCTTAAGCCCTTCTCCTCTTTGTCTCCCTGTGCCTACTTGTACCGTACCATTTACCCTTTTGCCAGTCCAGCTGTACTGTAAACTGGATTCCTGATAAGATGTGAGTAAGAAACAATGCTAAATAGGATGAAGATAATAGACATTTTTAAATCTGACCACTTCAGTGCTTGATTTATCCCATAACCTCTGTAAGTGCTCTGCTGCTATTGCTGAAGGGGGCACTGAGTTGTAATGCAGAAACAGTTTATCAGATTGCACCATTGCTGCTTCTCTTGCCTTTGTTTCACCACCAGGAATACAAGTAATTTTAACAATAGTGAAATGCCAGCATAGGTAAGATGAATAAACTAACAAACGTCACCGAGCTGGGGATAATTTTAGTAGCCTGCACATGCAGTACATCTGAAGCTACATACATAGCCATACTAAAAGAATTATGGGTGGGATGCTGTGTTTTTGTCAAAACTGCAGCTGAGGTTGCCAGTAAATGGCTTAATGACAAAGGCAGTGTGGAAGTGGATGACTGTTACTGCCATGTTGTATATGCGATTGCCAAGATTACTGGATGGAACTGTGATTTTGAATACGACTGTTAAGCTCGCTATCAAACCCAAAGTATTTCTCCATATCCTTATACGAGTTGGCTGTGTTTTCTTTCAGATCTTCTTGTTGGTCCAGAGCCGAAGATGGCGCGATAGCCTATGCTCTAGAACGGTGGAATATCATCGTTTAGATCAAAATGTTAATGAAGCAATGCCTTCGCTGAAGATAACCAATGATTATGTATTTTGAAAGCGCTGTGACTTGAGTTTGCTGAACTTACCAGTTTTTGCCTGCCTAGTCATGCAGTGATATTCAGGTGTTCTAAATATGCCGCTTGTACTGAAATGAGGGGTACTTTCTCTGACCTGGATATTTTTGAGATTAAATCTCATGCAAGATCAAGGGCATGATACATCTTTTTCCTACTTTGGTCAGATTTAAAATCAGCTATACAGATACAGGGTTTAATGATTAGTGCCCTTTCCATTTGTTAAGCATCTTCCCTTCTGTCTGGAGCAGTCTTAATAGTGGTAATGCAAAAAATAAGCATAGAATACTTTAGGTCTAATAAATTAATGTTTGGCATCGCTGAATCAAATTAATGGTCTCTTTGCTAATCACTTATATGGCTCATAAATCCTACCGTATTACAATTTGAAAAATAATTATTTTTTTCCGTGCTTAAATCTTGGTGCTGCAAAACTTTCATCTTGTTTTTTTTCCTGTTCTTTTTTCCTCCTTGCCTAGCTTGATCCTATCTTAGGAAGAATAACTAGCATGACAACTTCATAATTTCTACATGTGTTCATGCAGTAAATCATTTAAAAATAATTATGTTTAAAATACTTTATTTCAGAAGTTATACACCATATATTTTTATGGAATGTTCAAGATTTATGAGAAGGTATTGCAGCTTCTTGACTATCCATTTTTTTCTCTAATTCTATTTATGGCTTTTTCATTATCTTTGTAATTACAAAATTACAAAAAAGGAAAATAAGCCTTATGATATAATTTTAGTAAAATATAGATAGTTGACAGGCTTTCAGTACATCAAAGCTTTCCCTTGAATTTTAAGACAGTTGGGACACAGTTATATGGTTTGGTATATTATGAATAGGAGAGGCCTGAGACTGTAAGAACAATGTATTTCATTGTAATTATGACCCAGGTAATGGGCAGATGAAAGTAATGGTGTGTGCGGCTGCCAGTCTATGGATAGCACAGTCATTTTTGACAAATATTTACGCATTACTGTAAAGCAAGTTACTGGTACGTTAGTTTTTTTTTTTTTGAACTTTGTCTTTTGTATTTTCATTATTTATGTTTTCATGAGTTGTAAAATTTAAAATCTCTTTCGTTTTCTGAGCGTTCTGTTTGTGATTTAGTTTTCAAAACTGATAAATATGTAAATAATGGTGACTCAGAACCATAATTAATGACTTGGTATTCAAGTAATTATATAACACTTTGAAACAAATCAGAACTTCACAGCTATTGGCATGAAGAGTTTGAAGGCATGATATTAACTTATCAATGAAGCACTAAAACTTCTAAATCCTACTGTTAAACACTCTCTTTTCATAACCACATGAAAGTAAGGCACAAACAAAATATACCAAAAGTGTTTTCTTGAAGTAATTTTTATTATATTTGGACTTGTATCACTTAATATTTTGAAAAAGATTTTTAAAATAAATGGCAATAATAAGCTTGTGGGGTTTTTTTATCTTAACTATTTCAGTCTTTTATACAGTATGTTACCGTAAAGAGCTTATTTATGCTTGGGATCGAACAAACTGTTCGAAATCATCTTTTCCAGCATTGATGAAATTCACCCTGTTCAGAGGATGTATGCAGTTTGTGTTTTATGCCTCTGTTAAGTGGTATGTAGGGTAGATAGTGAAGCTTGGTTGAAATCTTTTAAGCTGTAAAAATTTAAAAGATCTTAAAAAGATAAATTTTTTACATAAGTTGTATAATTAGCAGTGCATAGTAATTTTCTGAAATTTTAGTACAGCTTTTTCTCGTGGAGGTACTTGAGACTTTCACCTGAACATCCCCATGTTAAAGCATAACATTGCTTTGGTCAAGATCCAGAGGGAAAGATTACCTTGCAGAGCTCCTTGAGAAATGTTGGAATTGGAGAGAAGGGGGCTAACAAATGGGTTCCCACCTAAGAAGTTCAGTAGCTTTCTTTTTAAATACCATTCATAAAAGTTGAGTGTTTTTGGCATTAGATAGGAGTATGGTCACACAATTTGCAAAATGTTTGTTGTTCCTATCAACTTCCACAGAGCACTGAATGAAATACTAAAAGTTCCTGATAGCACAGAAATACAGTGACATCCAAGTTGAAAATTCTACCTTGACTGCCATTTTCTCTTCACCCCGTCCAGGGAATTAGGTCATCAAGTCAGATGGGCTATTTTCAGCCTTTTGACTGTAATAGGTAGAATGCTGTTTAAAACGAGTAGAGCAAATTTATTCCAATTGAAGTTAATAGAAATGAAGCATAATTTGTTGATTTCTGAAGTTCATAGATGTGTTACCTTGTTCCCTCTTGATGTCTTCCTAAGCTCTTGAAACGTAGTGCAACTAGCTGAATCGAACCAGTCTAAATATTTTTTCCAGACTTTCTGAACTATTAACAATGCCCTATTTAAGACTATGTTAATGTATTGGCAGAGAAGCCTTGCTTTTCCCCTAGTTGTCCTCCCTCCCTTAAATTGCCTGTCCTTGTGCAAAGACCTTCTGTAGGGAGAGGAATTTATTAGCCTTCCAGCTCCTGAGCTGTTATTTCCAACAAATCCATTCTTTTATAACCCCATAACTTTTGAGGGAGGAAGAATGCACACTGTTAAGCTAGTAATAGGATTGCTTTTTGTATGAGTTTTCAGAGGAATCTGTCTAACGGCTAACATCAACTCAATTACTAAAAGTACCTCTTCGGAGTTTGTTTTACAGTTGTCACATTTTTAAAGTGCTCTTATATGCTAATTCTGCTGTGACAATACTTATCCCACAGTCTTAGTGTTCATCAGTTGCACCTAACACTATTTAGGCCTAATGGAGTAAAACTCACTTTGACTGTACTGTGAATGTTAATAAATTCTCTTCTGAAATGTCTATTTAGCTGTCTTCTCTGAAAATCCTCTTACATGAGGTAGCCTTAGAGTAGAGAGATGTATCTTGAACCTTCTGCTCCTGGTAGCCATATCAGTCATGAAATCTTTTGAGCTGGGGGACTGATTTTTGAGATTGTAAAATCGTGGCTTGCAAGTGCGTGTTTCTCTGCCAGAGTGCAGCTGGCGGAATGTTTTACTCAAAGTACGTACGAGCAATTACTCTTTGCTTGTGCAGCTCTCTGGCTATTGTGCACATCCTCTATCTCAGAAGTAAGAGAAAAATTTCATCCTTTAAATATTTATCCTTTTTTTTTTTTTTTTTAATAGGGCTCTCTACCAATAGTATATAAGGGAAGTTTTTTTGAATGTTTTTAAACTCACGGGAAATTAACATGCATTTGATATCCTTGAAGTTCTTTAAACAGTATGTGCCAGTGGGGTTCATTTTTGGAATTCTCTAAACTGATTCACTTTTAGAAAGTTAGCATGTTTTGAATACTTGAGATGAATCTTGCTCCATAAAGTTGGCAGTGAGTGTAGCAAGCTGCCCTGGGAGATAGGCTTGCAAGCCTGTGATCGTATTGTTCTGAAAAAGTAGCGGAAAGTTAGCGCATGTTTGCGGATGCATCTAAGCGAATTAATTTTAAGCGGTGATCTTGGTGGAATATCACTGACTTAAACACCTGTCCACCACTGGTCCTCTCCGGCGCTTGGCAATGCCAACGTAATGTAGTGGGTGTAGTACTGGTTATTTGTGTCCTGAAGGAGCAACCACTAAATAATCAGCTTGTTGCTGATGGAGTCCTGCCGTCCGGTTCCTCAAACATGGTGGGGAATCTGGGGTTGAAGATGAGTCAGTCTGCACACATGTGCTTGCTCGCTTTAACTTGTAGCAATGTGATACCAGAAAAAGTTAGAAAGTAGTGACACTATCACCTCGGCCCTGGAGGGTAGCTGTGCTGAAATGCTTCTCCAGTGCGCTCTTGCACCCTTCTCTCCTCTTGGTACTGTAAAAAAGGGACCACGCTCTTGCCCAGACGAAAGATTTGAGATGCATTCGATGACTTCAACTCCTTTTTCTTCTAGGAAGTTGTTTCCTTTGCAATAGCCTTTGGATTATTGCCTTAACAGGGGAATTATCTTACCAAATTGAGTTGGGTGGTTTGATATGCTGTTTCCTAATAGCACTAATAAAGAAGGAAAGGTTTCATATGATCCAATTTTGTAAGGACTCCACCAGCACCTGGAGATTGGGGCGTATGTCATCCATTGTGCAATAAAAGAGCCGTTTGGTGATGAGGTAATCAGGATTGAACTACTGTTTTTTAATTTCTTTAATTGAATTTGCTTGTGGAAAATTAAGAGTAGGCAATCAAAAATTCATAAAGTGCTGAGATCAAATAGTAGTGGAAAAAAGCAAGCAAATTTATGTCAGATCTTACCAACAAGAAATGTTTTGATCAATTTCTTTACTGAAGAGAGGAAACTTTCTCCCATTACGGTGAATTATGGCTTCCATCAATGTTCTGGTAAAAGGAATAAAATATTCCTGAAGAGCTTTCTGATTAAACTTTTCAAGATGAAAGTTGAAGCTCTATTTATGTAGGTTCTCGTTAGTGGTTTGATTTTATGATATGAGGAAAGAAATAATGAATAGGATAGTTTAAACAAATGATACATTTCACTTTTACTATCCAGGAAAGAAGGTATTCTAAAATATTTATGGTTTAATTTTCATTTAGTACCAGTGCATATTATTCAGCTAAGTCAACTGTCCTTGGCTGCTGCTCAGCTGTATACAGGGTGAAAAGAGAAAGGTTTATCTGAGCAGGGTGGTTTGAGTTATGGGAAATTCATTTGCAATGTGGAGATGAAAAATGTAGTATCTCTTAATTTAAGTGCTACAAAAATATTAGGGAAAGGGGATAGTTCTGTAGCTCTAACACTATTACAATGGGGTGACTGTGTTACTGAGCGAGCAGTGACCCCAAGGGATTCAGCTCATGCTTCCCCTTTCCTGTGTCACCCTTGTCTTGGTCCTGCTCCGGCTCCCAGCCACGCCAGGCGCCGTGGTCTGGAAGGTGAGCAGGCTACTAACCTGACAAAGTAATTCTTTGTTTGTTTGGGTTTTTTTTAATTCTTCCTGGGTTGATTTTGGTGCACCGGTTTCCCATGCAGTTAGAGCTGACTCAAGGTAAGCAGAGGGAGCATTTAGGCTGGGGCATGGGAACGTTCTCCTTTCAGTCGCAGCAAACTGTTAATTTGGCTCCTCATAAAACCGTAAAACCATTATTAAGCTATCTCATAAAAAAACATCCCTGAAACAAGAGCGTTTTACACTCTGGAGCCTAGGTAGGCTGCCAGTCCCTGCAGCCCCAGCAACTGTGGGCTTTATTGCTGGAAGGCCAGGCTGACCTGAGGCTCAGGGGTTTCCTTTGGTTTACTTTGTGTTTTTGTAGCGCGTGTTGGGAGGGAAGTGCCTGGTGGCCTCTCCGGGGAGGCAGAGGGGTGTTGCGATGTGGTGCCACATGGTCACCAGTGTCGGAGCACCCGTGGGGCCGTGCAGCCTGCTCAGGCTTCCAGTCCCAGATCTGACCCGCAGCTGCAGTTAGCACTCCTGTAAGGCTGAGTGGCTTTATGGGAGCCCTAAATCCTCATGTAAGGCTGATAGAGCAGTAATCTTGAAGGCTATATATTCTAGCTACCACAAAGCAGCAGAAGTAATAACATGATTCTTATGCTTTTCCTTTTAAAATTGAATGTTCTTTAAGGAGGAGCCCATGGTACTCTTTTCTGCTAAACTTTTCTGATACAGAGTATATACGTATCCTCACTTTAATAAAAATGGTTATTACCAGAACTTCTCAGCTTCACTATTTCTAATATATTTAATTAGAAAGGGAAGGGTGAGATCTTTTCTATAACTGGTCCTTGGATCATTATCAAAATCACTTAGCAGCCTCCTTAAACTTAATTACAAGGTCTATTGCCTTGTTAAATTATTAACACTGAAAATCACTTATCTTGGCAATTTTGTATCTTTATTAAAACGAAAATACCAAGGTCATGTTATACTTGTTGAGGTGCGCTCCCGGTTTTATTTATTATGGGTTGAATGAAACCAAATCTAATCCTTTTACTTTGTACGGTTCTGTAAACAATGCTGAGATGTATGTGATTAGCTGTTTAAGGAAGCCAGTGGGATAAGAGCTTAAGTTCAGATTCACAGATGTACTGAGGAGGCTGAGCTATTATTTTAAATACAGATTACATGAATTAGGGGAATAATTCGTCATTTCACAAAGCTGCTATTCGTGGTCAGCTAACTCTGCAAAGGCGTGGATTACGCTGCATATTCTTTAGCACTTTATGGCCTTTCATCTTCCAGTGTCGTGCGGTGACTCGTCACGACTAGTGGAGGTCCTTTTTGCCTCTGCCATCGATTTGGGTTTTGTCAGAAGGGAAAACAGTTATGCTCTCTGTTCCCCCTCTGCAGGTGGAGGACAGTGAATAAAACTTTCAAAAGTTTGTGCTTTGTGCTAGAGTTCCCTATATCACAGTGAGCCCCGATGACTCCAGTAAGGTTGATTCGTGCTCGTTCTTACTAGTTCCGTTAAGTTTCCACGTGAATTTGTACCAGGGGTGGCTGTTCCTGAGCTGCAGTCATTGGGGTACGTTGGGACAAGGAACATCAAGTAATTCTTTATGCAAAGTGCTTTCAACATCTAAAAAATTGTCCCTTCTAGATTGGCTGACACGTTCTACCATTTGCACTGCAAAAGGTTTTTATTTCTTATGCGTGCCAACTGCGAATCCCAACAGTTGGTATGCGAGATGTTTGGAAAAAGAGAATCATAGTCCGTGTTGTTTGGGGAAGGAAGGAAGATGAAAGTACTAGACGTAAAGGCGTTGTGAAGAAATTAAGCCACAACCTGCCAGGCACTGATATGACATTTTCAGTATCACTTATGGGGAAGATATTCTGTATTTGTGTAGGTGCTGTCTAAATTGAAACCAAGCAAAACTGGCTTTGATCCTATCTTAGTACAGGGAATTTGGATTTTATCATAAAGTGACAGCAGGGTCCTGTGACACATTGTTTTAGCACTCGTGGTGGCACTTTGAGATGCAGCCTTCTCTGTTGGCTCTGTTATGTTTGGCTTACTATAAGCTGTGAAGCTTTACACAGAAGTGGCTGAGGAGAGCTCACGCAGCAGTTCACCGACTCTGGGCAAGGTGATAGCATCTTAAACGTTGTCCTGCAGTTGTGCCGTTCACGAGGACTTGAACCAACTGAACGTGGTCCTTTCAAAGATTAAATGTTCTTGAGTAGTAAGAGTGAAACTAGAGAGTCCTGGCACCATCTTGGCTCTGAGTAAGCAGTGGAGGGATTGGAGCAGCGGGGTGCAGCACACTCCTTCATATACTGCATGCTCCGACTGGTCATGGCTGACATCTGGGGGACAGATGCTTCTTGCACCACGTCAGAGATGAAAGTACAATCCCGAAAATGTTCTCTGGAAATGGCATTTCATGGTTCCATAAAGTCTGGAGAAGGGCAAGTTCATCTTCAGCTCACTGTCGATGCACATGTTAATCAACTGAGCCTCAGAAACAAGGTAGGTCTTTCTATGCTGTATGCAGATTGATTTGGAGAAGGAGCTTGTGGGTATTTTTAGAAGAAAGCCAGGGGCAAAGGACTAGGGAGGCTTTGTGATCCCCTCACGGCAGGGAGGGAGTAAGCTAGCCCCTTTTCATTTCAGCATTACAGTGTGGATGAGCTTTGGTCTGCTGGGAGCTAGGGGGTTTCTGGGATGAGAGTAATCGGATATTCCTGTCTTCCATGGCACTTCGCGAGAGCATTATCTGCTCCCACGCCGGGGACCCCATTGGCGGGTAAAGAGAGAGAACGCTACATTAAAGTCGTATTATAGGAAGAATTCAGCAGCGAGACGGAAGAGGGTATTTTAACCGGCAATTAAGCTTACCTTGCTGACGCTGGG